AGACCGGATCTTTTTTATTAGTTTAAGAATTCGATGAACTGGATCCGTATTGCATATCCTGCATATCAGTGGCCTAGCTTACGTATTCTTTTTTAAATTGAATTTTTATTAAAATTCACTACGATACAACCGTACAAAGACAAACGAATTTTTCTTATATGTCACGTGAAAACTATGGCGCCACTTGATCAAGCTAGACTTTTTTAGACTGCGAGCCCATATGACAAGAAAAAAGGGCGCCGATATTTAAAAAAAAAAAATAAAAAATACTCTGTAAGAAATTACTTAATGATAATTTTTTTTTTAATCAATTACACAATTAATTTTTTTCTTAAAAAATGAATGAGCATTATGAGGCGTGCACTTTTAGATTTTCCAAACTTTTTTATTTAAGTTTACATCAGTGAAATTAATGAGTCTTCATTAGAATAAAAAAAATTATTGCAGCTTACCGCACACATGGAATAAAATTATTATTGGTCATATTGTTGTCAATCGAATATTATTATTATTTTTATAGGTTTTATATTTATCAAAAACTAAATTTTTATTAAATGAAATTTAATGTTTAATTAATTTTTTTGATTTAATTTATTTTTGAAGGTTTTACATCTAATATTTAACATATTTTTACAAATAATAAACTAATTGCATAAAATTTTATTATTTGGAATGACAATTGTATAAAAGTTAGTTAGAATTAACAGTAATTGAGCTACAACTGATCAACAACAAACTATATACATACTTCACAAAAATAGCCTATTTCACAAAAATGTTTCAGAATATCTAGTATTACACGACTCGTCATGCGAAGCATCAGAGAGTGCTTTACGATCGAAAAATTTTTTTCAAATCTTCCAGCACGATTTTCAAAATGTCTTCAATGTTTGGATGTTTAGGGGAAGAATTACGTAGCTTAGATTGAGTCCATAAAAAATGTTTAAAAAAATCTTCGTAAGTTGGCAAACATCCCTCGCGGTTTTGAGAATGCCGTAAAAATACCGTAATTTTTCGGCATTTATACTCATGCCGTATATTTACCGTAATAATGCGGTTAAACTATAGTTGTTTTGGCCAGTTTTTATACTGTAAATATCCAGTATATATACTGCGTTTATGCTGTACAGTTACCGAAAATATACTATACAATTACCGCATTAATGCCCAAATTTTACCCAAAAAATTCCAAATAATTACCGTATTAATACAGTAACTTTGCCGAAAATTTTCTGACATAATGGAAAATTATTAAAAATTTGGTTTTATTTTGAGTTCACTTCTGCAATCGCTACTTTGCAAAAACAAATACTGTTTTTAAATAAATACTATGTAGAATATTATTTTTAAATTAGGTATTTAGCGGTAATGAATATTAAAGAATACATTTGTTAAGTAAATATATTCTAATTTCAATTTCAATTTTTAATTTCTCACTAAGAAAATTGCAAATTTTCTAAAATCGAAAAGTTACATTGTTTCATATATATAACTACATTATTTAATTTTAAATATGCTTATCGTAAGATGGACGGTATGGCTTAATGTATATAGAATAAGCAAAAATAAATATGGTACAAGCCGGGTAGCTCAAATGGTAGAATAGCCGAACCAGAAATAACAACACGCAATGTCTACCACCGCAAGCATTCATTTATTTTGATAAAATTGGAGCAATTCAAAATGAAAACAACATCCCGATCTTGTACCATGCCAGGAGACATCAAGCGGATAAAAAAATAAGAGTAAAGCCTGATTCAAAATATATTGATCCTGTATATAGTAAATCGATCCCAGATCGTGACTATAATGATTTCCTTCAATTAAATAAAAAATATTGGTGGCTAACTGATGAAGCTCAACATCGTAAAGCCATCCGGAGAAGAAGAGATGAATACGAGACATCGAGACAAAGTAAGCGATCTAAAAATTAGCATTAATTTAAAATACAAAAGAAATTACACTTATGTTACTTTTCTAATTTATTTTATTTTAATTTTATTATTTATTTATTTATATTTAATTACCTTTATTACATTTCATTAATTATTATACAAGAGACTGAATATGATGTTTTTTTTGCAATATTTTTCATCATTTAATACAAAATACTGAGATAAAAGATAATATATTATATATGAACTACACTAGAAAATAACGTACTATCAATAAAAAGAGACTAGAATAATGTGAGAAGCCAAAAACACGTGGACTAACATTATAAATATAATAATAATTATTATTAGCGAGGATAATGGCAATGTTTTTAAGTTAAGTTTGCAGCCACTGTAAATATATGTATATAAATAATGTATTTTTATAATGCAAATAAACTTTTTCAAAAAAAAAAAAAAATAGCTCGTCTGATAGTGAGCTTGGCTAGGAACCAGGCGATTCGGGTTCGAGTCCCCGGTTTAACAATAAAATATTAATTTTTTTGTCACGGCAGTAGTTAAAAATTTTTACTGTGCTTCGTTTTTTTACCGATAAATTACCTACCGATGTAAAAAAGAGACAAATTCTGATAAACTGCCATATCAATGAGTGTTTTCATTCATTTTGTCCAACTTCACTAAAACTTCACATTAAGACTTTTACTAAAACATTTTGATAAAAGTTAAAGTCAAATTTCGGCCCTAGATTGTATAAAAGTTGGACTGCAACTTAACGTTAACTTTTACAATTGGATGGCGATCTAAATATTTAGATCAAAATCAAAAAATATATTCTTTATATCAAGTTATGATAACAATTATTATTACAAACAAATTTCATTTTGAAGTTAATCAAATAATTTTGGAAGTATATCTTTAATTTCTTGTTTTGCTTTAGCTTTTCAAGTAAAAATAAATTAATAAAGTTATATTTTACTCACGGAAAATCAATAACAATTCCATAGATGTATTTTTTCTGTAAGTTTGACATCGTCTGATTTTATTTTGTGTACTGAAAATTAAAAATAAATTTTATACCTAGCTATAAAAATATAAAACCAAAAAGTATGGTACTGAAAATAACAAATTATTTGATGGTACCTCATTGAACAGACATCTAACAATTTTTTAGATTTTTATAACAATTATATTATAATGAAAAAAATTTAGCGGAAAAATTCCACTTGTAGAAATTGTAAAAAATTATTCGTGTGAATTATAAAAATTGTTTTATTACAATTTCAAAAATTGTTAGATGTCTACTTATTTTAGTATCATAATTCTTTGACTATAATTCGGTTTATTAATTCAAGAAATAAAAAATCGTATATACATGTGACTTTTTTAAAAATACAGAAATAATATGAAAAGTATCCGTATTATTGAACGTATTATGTATATTTATGAAAAAAAATTAATTATTCTACCTTAACTATTTTATGGAATTGTAATGCTTTAACTTTTAAAGATTATACATGTTCATTTATAAAATATAAAAATTTCTCAATTTTTTTATTATTATTAAAAAATTTGTTAGCAATTCTTAAAATTTTAGTTCACAATAAAATTTTGTTAAAATCAATGTGTATCAGTAATATTATTATTATATTTTAATCATCATATTGTCAAGTTTAATAACTAATAGTTATTTACTGGATTAATTTTTTTTATTTTTATTTTCATTAAAAAATTATTTTTTTGTTCTCGTAACAAAAATTTTATTTGCACCGTTACTCAACGTGCAATGTAAAAAAAATTTATTACCTCAACTCAGTTGTTTATTTTTTTTTTTTTTTTCCCAGATTACTTAACTTTACCTAACTGTGGGGACATAAAAACTTGTAATTTTCAATCAACTTTCCTTTATAATTATGATTTTCTTTCCCTCTGCTATTTATCGAAATAAAATCTTGATAATACTTCAGATGGCGTTTATCGTCGACATGGTTTGACTTGACAACCCAATATTTTTTTTTTATATATTTCATCACAAAGTGAGCCTCAGTGAGCCTGTGAGCCTTGGCTGTTGTATATATGTGCCTACATATAAAGCTATATATTTATCAATTATATATCCATAATATTCTGTATTTCATAAATATATTTCAATTTTCTTCAAAATAATGGTATATTGGATTTTAAAAAAACGTACATTTAAAAGGTATATTTTATTTTCATTCTGCACTTAAAGTACTGGCTAAACAACAATTAATAACAACAAATTGTTACAAGTTCTAATTGAAAAATTTTTTTTCACAACACTATTGAGTTATATTGAATAATAAAGTTACGTATAATCATTAATAAGATGTTTTATTATTAAAATTGTACTGATTATACTAAATCAAAATAATTCATAAAATCTGTTTTTATAAACAAATTTAATGATCTATGACTTTTTGAACTTTTGTCTGTGATAGTAAATAAAAAATATATTTTTTATAAGCTTTTAATGATATTAACAGTAATTAATGGTATTAAGTTTTGAAACGTTCAGTGCTTGGATTTATCTATAGTTATACAAGAATGAAATCATACAGGTACTTTAATTATTAACATTTTAACAACAATAGAAAATAAATATTTTTTAATTTTAATATTAATAACAAAAAGAGTTTTAAACTCTTTGTACTACACTTTGAAACATAAATGTATATATTCTTAATTTGTATTTAAATGCAAACAATAATTACTTTTAACAAGTACACTGTTTATGTTGTCATTATGACGTTTAATGTAGTGATTCACTGTAAATCATTAATGCTTATACATATACTAGTTTTATTCACACTTTTTTAATGCCACATGGAAAACTGCTTGCTTTACTTGATTGATTTTTTCATAGGTTGCACGTTGACAATAGCTCCTGTTGATGTTTTAATCCGCGGTTAGTACTTGGTTTCTTCAAATATTTACGGATTAATCTATACAACACTATTAAAAAAATAATACATAGTCATTTGTATTAACAAAAAATAAACAAAAAAAGAAAAATAAATTAATATAAGGATTCTCTACTGCTTTAATAAAATACATTTTTTTGGGTTGTAAATTATTACTAACAAAATGCAATGGATATACCTCTTAGCTGGTTTCGTGCCATTCGTCATCCTTGATATTTGGTATATGGGAATGTAAGTTGACTTATACTTGATTTTAAATTGCAAAATCATGTTATTCATCGTTTGTCATGATTATTTTAAAAGCATTTTAAAAATTTTCTTTTTTTTTTTTTTTTTTCATCCTTATTGCGTCATCTACAAAAATATAGAAATATTTAAAAAATTTTTTATTAAATAATTAATTATGGTATTTAGCGTATCTTTATACTATCAAATTTTCTACTCTTTTTATTTTATTTGATAAATTTATTTTAGACAGTATGTTTTTGATTAAAAATTTATAAATATTTATTCATTCATTGGATTTTTGTATAATCACAATTTTGTAACCTCATATAAATAATTACAAAACAAAAAAAAAAAATTTAATAATAATAATAATAATAACTGATAAGTTGCTTTGTATTTTTACAGAGCCGCACTATGGACTATAAAAATAATTATTATTACTTACATAATTATATTTGGTATTTGTCCGTTTATATTTCATTACTCATACAGTTTCCAACGTAAAATACTTTTTTTAAATTTCGGTAAGTTTTTATATTACATATTACATTATTTATAAACTGATAGTTTAATATTTATTATTTTTTAGTACACTGGCCACCTAGTCTAGACTTTGAAAGACCAGAGTCAATTGGATTGGAAGGTGTAAGGAATTTTTATTTACACACTGATGAGAATGTTAAAATTGGAGCATGGTAAAAATATAAAACTTTAATTGTTATTGTAATTTTAATAATATTAACAAATGATCATTATTACTTATAATAGGCAAATGCTACCTCGATCTTTACTCAATGACTCTACAATACTCAATGACGAGTACTTTGAAGCAACTTTAGCAAATGCAAGTAAACCAGTATTTTTATATATGCATGGCAACAGCGGAAACAGAGGAAGTAGTCATAGAATCGAATTATACAAAGTATTCCAAGACCTAGATTATCATTTAATTGCTTTTGATTATCGAAGTAAGTGTTATTATTGACGATAAATATAAAGTTTACATAATATTTACATAATATGATTGTATAAATTTATTTTTTATTTTAGGCTATGGTGATAGTGACCCTGCTGAATTATCAGAACTTGGAGTTGTTACTGATAGTAAATACGTAGTACGCTGGCTAATGAATAAAGTTAACAACAGTGCGCCTGTTTTTGTGTGGGGTCATTCACTTGGAACTGGGTATAATACTAATAACAATACTAATAATCGAAATAATAATGAAATTAACCGCTAAATAATACTTAATAAATATTTATTTTTGTTGTAGAGTGTCCTGTCATGCTTTAGATTTATTAGCTGCCGAAAATATACATCCTGCAGGATTATTTTTAGAATCTCCTTTTAATAACATTGCTGATGAATTACGATGTCACCCTTTTGCTCAAATATTTAGACATTTACCATGGTTTGATTGGATAATTGTGCAGCCGTTTTATGGAAATAATCTAAGGTTTGAGTCTGATAAGCATAGTGCTAATATAAAATGTCCCATAATGATACTACATGCAGAAGACGATAGTGTTGTACCATTTAATCTAGGTGAAAAGGTAAAATAATTTATTTCAAAACTTTATTTATTAATATAGATAAATGTTTAAATAAATATCCACAGTTAAAATTTTCGATAATAATATTTAAATTCAAACGAAAATTGATTAACTTAATTACAATTTATTATTTAAGTTATATGAAGATACTTTGAAGTCACATGGGAATGATACGGAACAAGTTCAAATGGTTCGAATAAATGCGTCATTAGAGCTTGGTCATAAATATATATGCCGATACAAACCATTACCGTCAATTATACAGTATGTATTAATAAAATTATAATATTAATGCTCATAAAATTAAAGAGCGATATTAATTAATAATTATTTATTTCAGGAACTTTGTATTACAATCTGTAAAAAATCAAGTTCAATGAAATGCTTTAATAAGTCTAGCATCGTATAAGTGTGTCTATCAAATCCAAAGAATATGATGGTTTCGTCCATTTTATATTTTCAGTGATTTAAAGAGAATATAATTATTTTTCTCAGTAGAATTACTTAGGAAAAAATACAACTGAGATTAGAAAATTATATTTTTTTTTAAGATAAATTAGAAATTGTTATTTATTTTTTACTTTAAATGGTTGATTAAAGTATAATCGGCAAAACAATTTAACTATTGGCTCTCTTGGTATTAATTGATAACTTACTCCAATTGAGATCTACAATATGAAAAATAGATAAATTTAATCTATTTGAAAAATATTTTTTGAGTGAAGTCTTCTAGAAAGTATTCTAGAAATCTTATAGTATCTATTGTGTCAACATATAATTATAACCCTTGTGAAATTATTTACATTTGTGTATAAATTAATTTATTATATTTAAAATTGTATTTATAATAAAGTGTGTCTTGAAGTTCTTAAAATTATGAAATGAATAAATTTTTTTACAAATCCGCGTGATAATTTTCAATTTATTGAATCTTATATTTTTCATGCAGTCTATGTGTAATGCTGTGTACTCAACTAATAATCCAGAAGTTTGTGAAGAAGCTTCATCTGTCCGAAAAACTTGAATTCTATTTCTATAGTATTTTCGTACAGAACTTCTCAATCATAACATATGTTTGTCGGAACAGATTCAGTTTAAACTTTTTAATTTATTTATTGCAATAATAATCATGCTAAATAGTAGCTTCATTCTAACTATATTTAAGCAGAATAGGTATAAATAATGTTGAAAATATAAATATCTTGATGCCATGAAAACCGCAAGAGATGCCACAATAATATGTATTTTCACAAATTTTTTTTTCTTATTACTTACCTATCAAATAAATTTTGAAATCAAATAAAATTAAGTTTTCAAAAAAGAGCATGTGATTAAATATTGCGGAAGTTTTATAATAGCTTATACAAAAATGTTTTGAAAATGTAATTAGTTAAATAAAATTGCTAAAAATACATTTACTATATTAAATATAAATGAAATTCATATTTAAATAATTTACAGTTGAGATTGATTTTTAACAAAAATCTGTTACTTGATTTATGCGTAATAGATTTATCGGTAAAAATTATTTTTCTTGTAAGGCAAAACATTTCTTGAATTTGTATTCATCATCAGGAGCGACTGTTAATTGTCTGTTATTTTCTAGATCCTAAAGAAGAATTCACTTCGCAAAAATAAAAAATTCAATGTATTTTCCTCCAACAAGATGTTCTTCTTCAATCTAAAATCTTTTTTTTTTTCTGTTTCAGGTAATTTTAATACTCATAGAAGAGTTAACATGATTCAAGAGAAAACATTTTAGACCAAGAAAAGACCAATCAAGCAGACAAATTCTTGAATTATAAAATTGTTCTTAGTTTAATTAGATTATTTGATTCAAGAATTTTTTGTATTGATTCAAGAGCATGAAAATTTTAGATATAATTTCTCAGTACCAGAGTTTTTTCTTAAATCATAATAATTTTATCGGTAAAGTTAATCCATCGGTACGCTAATGAAAAATTTTTGGTGTCAATATACAAATACAATATACCAATATTATTCTTACTTTACATGTTGACATTTTTTCGTTTACGTATGATTAAAGATTGATGATTCAATCCGTGAGATTAATTAATTACATACTTAATTCTAATTTAAATAATAATTTAAAAAAGGAAATAGCTGGTCTTATTAAAAAAAAGAGTCTGGTAAATTCACACCGTATAAATACAAGGATTTACTTGTAGAATAAATCGCCGGATTAGATTTTTTTTATTTACTTACTTAAATAACTACAACAAACTTACTAAAGTCAATTCAACATTTTATAGTGATTAAATCATCTATCAAGAATTTTCCCCACTTTTATTACATTACCTACACCATAATAATTTCTTACATCAGTTCATTGGTTCTTGTTTTTCGTATCTTCAGTCTTCAGTCACCTGCGAACCATTCAGTAGTAACAACGTCTGATTGTCCTTCTATTAATTAAAAAACCTATTTTTACGCTGTGTTGTTTTACAAAATAAACTTAAACAATATAAATAAATAAATAAACAATCAACATGATTCCAACAAATGAAAGTTACGAGCTCAAAGAAGTAAAATCTCTCATCAAAGCTTTGATCATCTCAAATAAGGGCGGGATGCCAATTAACAAAATCGATGGTAACTATTTTTTTTTTTTTTTGTCATATATTGTCTTTAGGTAAAAAATTTTTTTTTTTTTGTTACAGATGAGTATCACTGTCAAACGGGTGACTTTATTCCATACCTTCGCTTAGGTTTCACCTCTCTTTACGACATGCTTCGTAATTTTAACGGCATAAGAACAGAAAGGAACGAGCTTGGAGACGTCGTTTACAGGGTTGTGGATCTAGGACGCATGGCGCACATCGATGACCTTGTGAGGAAGCAAAAAGATGAAGTAATTCGACCTGATCGAAAACGAAAGGATCGTCTCACCCGACTTAACAACAACCAACCACAACCACCCAAAAAAGCTAAAAACACTCATCCAGCGTTTAATAATTTTATCTCTGGTAATTATTATTCATTATTTATTTTTGAATATTTTAGTTAATAAATAATAATTATTTATTTATTTTTATTTTTAATTTATCAGAAGGAGAGGATTCTGCGTATGAATCAACGGCGTACGACGATGACAACCAGAGTCCCATAAGAATTGAAGATCCTCCTCGGGATTTAGTAAGTTTTTTTTATTAATGATAATCATAATCATTTTTTCATTTATTATTTATTATTTATTATTTACTATTATAAACTTTCTGATTTTATAGTTACATGTTCACGAACCTTTGATGAACGGTCAACAGTTGATCGGAGACGATTTCTTTTTACAACTCGCAATTCGCAATTTAAGACGTCCAATCTGGAGAAAAGCTCGTAAGAATTAGTGTTCTTTGATTTTATTTTTAGATTTTTAATAGTAAGAATAATTTTTGATTTGATATGTAAATTTATTTAGCATGCACAGCTCTTCATTGTGGATTGTGTATTTCTGGAATGACGATTCGTGCGCTCACCAACAAGATTCGCCGTATCAAATCGATGTCTAATAAAATTATTATATTAATTGGGGCTGAAGACGTCTACAAGGTAATTATTTTTTTACTTTGTTTGTAACATATCAAGAAATTTATAATAAATTTTATAGAATTGAATAGATTAATAGAAATTTTAAAAATCTTTAAAACTAGTAGTCTTTATATTCTTAATGAAAAATTTAATAAATTTTAGTCGAATTAAAAAAAACGATTCAATATTTTCATGATATACTTAAAAAATTGAGATTATAAATAAAATTAACTATTGGCTTTAAAATAATTATTGTAATTAGTAGAAAAATTCTTGATATTGATAATTTTAATTCATGCTCATAAGTGAAAAAATAATCAATTTCAATAGAATCACAATAATTTTTTCTACGGAAAATATTAGTGAAATTGTTAAACTGATGTCATTGAATAGTTATTTTTGTTTTTCAATAACATATAACATATTAATATATTGGCATTGAAATTCCTACTCGATTCTAACTAATGTGTGTACATAATTTTTTTTTTTACAAATTTATTGTTTCCACAATAATCTTCCGGATTTAGGATTTGTTTCCATATGAAATCATATAAAAATTTTTATTTAACAAAATATTTATTATTATTATTATTATTATTATTTTATAATTAGGGTCATTCATTTGATGAAATGAAGTGGGACTTTGACGATATGATAGATTTATTGCATGTGCGGTTCGCTTTTTCACGTGATGCAATAAAATTATGTACCATTCCACCACTGGCCAACCTGGGAGTCTATTCCAACGGAAATAAGCTAGAAGCACTCCGTTGTTTCAATAACTACTTAAGATGCTTCGCTTCCAGTAATAATTATGGTTTAGTGGATTTCTCCACCCACATGACCAACCCAAATTTGGACACAGAGTGGGACTTGTTCCAGCTGGATGCCAGAATGGTTTCTGGAAGTAGTCATCCTTACGTTCTCTGGAACAAACGAGGTAGATGTCTCGCTGTCAATCTGCTGGCTCGCCCAGCTGAACCTATTAATAACGATAATGATAATTACAATAATTGTAATAAATACAATGATTGTGATAATTACAACAATTGGGATAATTACAATAATTGTGATAATTACAATAATTATGATAATTACAATAATTTGAATTATTGTTATTAATTAAACAAATCTATTTTTTATATTTATTAATTAGCATAATTTATTTTTTTATTTTCACTTCATTACTAAACTCATTTCATGTTTGCCATCATAGTTTAATATTTATATTTATTTTTTTACTCTAAATTTTTAGCTAGTCATAAAATTATGCTAATTAATAAATATTTATAATAAGTTTAATTGATATACAAATTATAATAATTTGTTTATGCAAAAGGTATGGGTAATATTTTTACAAGTAAAATGTGATAAGTTATGATCGTTTATAGTTTAAATGTTAATAATTATGTAAATCCATAAAATTATTGTAGTGATTAATTCAAATCAATTTCACTTAATCACTTGTTTATAAAATGAGTAATCAATTTTGGTAATTTTTTACATTTTATTATATCAAATAAAAATATATAATAAAAATAATCGAGAGTAAGTAATATATTTATCAAAGTCCAAAAAATAATGATTTTTTGACTTTATAAATAATTCTTACGGATTTTTATTATTCATTTTTATTTGATAATAAAAGATGTAAATAATTGATCAATTAATTTTTTCTTGACGAAATAACTACAATTTTATGGATCGCACTTATTTAATAATTGTCGTTATCTCTCGTTATTTTAAAAATTTTAGTTTAATTGTTAGTTATTTATTTATTTATGAGTAAATCGATCGATCGGTTAGGTATAAGTTTAATTATTTATTTATTTATTTATTTTTAAGAATAATTATGTAAATACAATTATGTGTACTTAGAATAGAATTGCTGCGAGTACTCGCCAAAAATAATGCAAAGGCTTGTCTGTGAATAAATTTATAAATTGTTATTGGTGCGCAACAATTACAATTTTATATTTATTTTAATACTAGACTAGTCTTTATATTGTTAAATGGTAAAAAAATGTAAGAGTGTGTTATAAATTTATGTTAAAGAGCGAATGAGTATGAGAGATAAATAAAATAATTACAACAATAACAATTAATAAGCATTAGTAGGTGATTCAATTCATTTAGAACCACGGATATTATTTATATATTTCTTCGAAAAATCTTTTTATAATATTTATTTAGAACTATTTTAAAAAAATTAATATTGTGATCCAAAAACTTTCCTGATATAATATCTTTAAAAAAATGATTAAATGCATGCATTTTTCTGACTATCCCAATAAAAGCGACACAAAATTTTTTTTTATAATATTTTGTTCAATTTAAGATGATAATTATTCATTTTTGATTTTTTGATCAATAAAATCTTCCAATAAGTCAATATTTTTTTTGTAATTTTTTATATTATATTTTTAATTTTTAAATTTTCGTAGTTACAAGTTATTTTGTGGGACTTACTCACCTTTCAGAGGGAGTCTCTTATGTGAGTTCTTTAATAATTTATCTAATATACGATAGAGTGCGCTTCTAGTTCAAGCCTGTGGCGGTACTGTCAGCGCGGTCACGCCTCTAGTGGTAGACTCGCAACTAAAAACGCCTCAACACCGCCAAGCGGCAACAACTGGGACCACTCAACGTACTGTAGATCTCACACGGATATACACAGATAAATCGCTGAAGATACCACCACAGCTGTGGCATCCAAATCATCTAATTAATCCAATTAAAGTTTATTAAATAATAATTAATCATTTAAATATATTTTGTTGACTAATAAATAATAATAATAATAATCGTATCACTTTGGTCTAGTAATTTTTAGTATAGTGTATTCCCTTTGAATCCACAAAGGATTGATCACAACGCTCTCTGTATATTAACATAGAATTACGTATAAAAAGATGGCTGCAATGAATGATAGCGGGAAACTTGAGCTTGCCATTTAAGAATGCTGTCTTCACATCCATATGGTGTAACAGTAGATTATTCTGATTGGCATAGGCGACAATGAATCTAAAACTAGAAATTCTAGCTACGGGCGCAAAAGTTTCATTATAATCTATCATGTATTCCTGGCTAAAACCCCTTGCAACTAAGCGAGCTTTATATTTACTTGGATTTCCAAACTCATCGTTTTTAATCGAAAATATCCATTTACAATCGACAATATTTTTATCATTGGGTTGTGGCACTAATGTCCAAGTATTATTTATGCAAAGTGAATTAAGTTCACTTTTAACTGCCTGTTCCCATTTGACCCTATTAGTATTATTTTTAATGTCATTATAAGAGCGCGGAATATCTTGCATTATTGTTTGAACGGACAACATATATTCATCTGAATAACTATTTTCATTATATGAAACTTTTGGAAGACCTTTGATTCTTTCACTCTTTCGACGACCTGTTTTTAAATTATTTTCTAATCTAGGATATTTATAATTACTACAACTATCTAATTCATCTGATTTCTCATCATCAGATTTATCTACCCCATCTGATTTATCAATATCAGATTTATCAACACCATCTGGTTTATCAATACCAGATTTACTTAATCCATCTGATTTATCAATATCAGATTTATCAACACCATCTGGTTTATCAATACCAGATTTACTTAATCCATCTGATTTATCAATATCAGATTTATCAACACCATCTGGTTTATCAATACCAGATTTACTTAATCCATCTGATTTATCAATATCAGATTTATCAACACCATCTGGTTTATCAATACCAGATTTACTTAATCCATCTGATTTATCAATATCAGATTTATCAACACCATCTGGTTTATCAATACCAGATTTACTTAATCCATCTGATTTATCAATATCAGATTTATCAACACCATCTGGTTTATCAATACCAGATTTACTTAATCCATCTGATTTATCAATATCAGATTTATCAACACCATCTGGTTTATCAATACCAGATTTACTTAATCCATCTGATTTATCAATATCAGATTTATCAATACTATCTGGTTTATCTATACCAGATTTAATTAATACGTCTGATTTCTCAATATCAGATTTATTTCCATTATCGAATGATGCATCAATATTATCATCATTAAGCACTGATTTTGACATGTCAGAAATATCAGCTTCGCTTATGGAGTTTTCAATTACTCCCCCAGGTTTTATACCTGGTCGAGACATCATAAAATTTGTCTCGTCCACAATAACATCCCTAACTACAAAATGTTTACCTAAATCTACATTCCATACCCGGTAACCGTTCGGCTCATAACCCACTAATATACCTTTCCATGATTTGTTATCAAATTTGTTTTTACTGATTTTACTATGAACATAAACTGTAGAACCGAATACTTTTAAATATTTAACTAAAGGCTTTTTCTCATGCCATAGTTCATAAGGTGTTTTTAATTCTTTTAATGCTCTGCTTGGAATAATATTGATTAAATATGTTGCAGTTAAAACTGCATCACCCCAGAAAACTTTATCTAAATTAGATCCTGCTACCATTGACCGTGATTTTTCTGTAATAGTTCTAACCATGCGTTCCGCTACGCCATTTAATTGAGGAGTTCGCGGAACCGTCAAATGATATGTTATGCCCTTATTTTTACAATAATCTTTCATGTCATTCGATAAATATTCTCGACCGTTATCTATATATAAATATACTAATTTTAGATTAAATTTAGCTTCACTTTTGGCTACAAAATCTTTAAATGTTGAAAACACGTCTGACTTATGTTTAATCAAATATACTACGCAATAATGAGTGTAATGATCTAAAAACAAGACAAAATAATTTTTATCGTTTAAAGCCATTGGAGTAATAGGACCACATACATCTGAATGTACTATAAATAATGGTCTTTTAACATTTTCTCGATTTTTAGCTTTATTAAACGATAATCGAGTTTGCTTTCCGTTAATACACGCTTCACATAATTTATTACTAGGGTTAATTCCTGTTATCTGTTCTATATCTTCTATCATATTATAGTTCTTGAGTTTAATAAACTTTTCTTTACTTATATGACCTAATCTCTCATGCCAAATATCATAATTTATCTTATTATTGTTGCTTTTAGATAATTTAACGACAGAATTAACTTCATGTATGTCAATTTTAAAATCAATTTGAATTAGATTATTTGAAGGCTTACCGTTCATGATGACTTTACCATTTTTACTCAGTCTTACTCCGTGATGGTCAAAGACCACCACCATACCTGACTTTTGCAATTTTGATACCGACAGTAAATTGTACGGCACCTCGGGACTGTACAGGACCTCATCTATTGTTCCTGGAATACCCTTATTTGTAATGACGCTGATGGATCCCCTCTTCGTTGCTGAAATGAATTGTCCACCTTTTGCAACTGAAATCTTGATAGGTGTTTGAAGATTTTTGAAGTTCCTGGCAATGTCTTCTCTATTAATAATATGATCAGATGCTCCTGAATCCAGTAGAAATATTATTATTTTGTCACTATCAGTTTTAATTTGACTGCTATCACCTGCCATAAATGCTATCCTAGGCTGTGAATCAGAATCAATCAATTCAGCAATCTGAGCCGATTTGTTTCTTTTATTTTGTTCAAATTGTTGGCACTTTTTGTACCAAATGCAATTCTTCTTCAAATGTCCTTCACGGCCACAATGATAACACTTGGCCTTGAATTGACCCTTTTTAAAATTTTTCGAGTTTTTAAAGTTTTTCGAAACTGACCCTTTAGACTGACGCTTATTATTATTATTATTAAATTTATGTGACGAAAATTTATTTTCACCACTTCTGTCACTATTTTCACTAACTAGCACTTTCACAGTTGTATCACTGTTTACAGAGTTAATTCTTATTTCTTCCTCTAGAAGTCTTACTTTGACCTGCATATAGGATATATTATTTTCCACCACTGTTTCGATCGCTGCAGACACAGCTTGGTAGGCTGGTGGTAGAGACGACAATAGTAGTCCCACTCTGGATGGCTCATTTAATATTGGGCCTCCCGATAAGATTAATTTATCATACAGCTCTTCGAATTTTTCAAAATGTTCTGTCAATGAGACATTTTCTTTTAGCTTGAGAGCGGAGAACATTTTGAAAATGCTTACTTG